ATCTGACTTAGGTCAGACTTGCACCAGGTTCCCAGAACACTGGCAGAATGTAGGAAAATATCACAGGATAGTAGTATTGTCCTAAGTAGGGCATTTACTGAATTAAACCACCCAGCAAATGGAATTGAAGGTTTGTGGGAAGAAGATTAAATTACTAGTTTTATTTATTTATTTATTTATTTATTTATTTTTTGCGGTACTGGGGATGGAACTCAGTACCCTGCACTTGCCAGGCAAGTGCTTATTCTACTGAGCTATCTCCCTGGCCTCATAAATGACTAGTTTTAGATTCCAGTGAAATATGACCTTCTGTGTTTACATTTTTCTCTGGTTTAGTTATTTGGTAGAGTGATAAAGGCAAGCATTGCTATTGACAATGGAAGAGCAGCTGAATTCATCCGAAGGCGAAACTACTTTGATAAATCTAAATGTTACGAATGTGGGGTGAGTACATGAAGTCTTCTGCAGCTTAAGGTATTTCCCACATCTGTCTTTTATTGGTGTTCACCAAAACTTCTGGTGGGTTGTACCCAGCTTATGAAGGTGGTTTTATTTAGAGGCTCACCTAAGTAAGCTGAATTGACCTGTATTCATGAAATGCACTGGTGTAGGCTTGAAGGCCCGGATTCGAGGGTCAGGCAGTAGAGCTACAAATCTGATGCCAGCCTAGGCAACTAAGCAAGATCCTGTCTCAGACATTAAAAACCTGGGGCATGGGTTAAGCTCAGTAGTAAAGATACCCAGAATTCAGTGCCTAGTACTATAAGAGAGAGACAGACAGGGAGACAGAGAATGAGAACAGATAGAGGAAATGAAAAGAGAATTCCTGAGGCCTGGGAATTCAGCTCAGAGATGGAGAGCTTGCCTAGCTTGCCGAGGCCCTGCAATAAGTTTTTTTCTTTTTCTTTTTAAAGTAAAATGTATTTAGGACAGGGTCTACAAGGTCTGCAGGGTCTCACTAGGTAGATGAGACTTATAGTGATGCTCTTGTTTTCAGCCTCCTAAGCACTGGGATTATAGGCACGTGCCACCACTCCCAGCCTCAATCATGCCCTGGGAGTGGGACTGGCACGGCACACTTGGCCACTGCGCTTTGTGTAAGCAGGCACTTTAGTCTGCTGAGCTATCTGTCTGGCCCTAAATCTGTTTTTTGAAAGGTGTTATTCACTTAGGTGTCTGGAAAGAGTGTAATGACTCATCAATGTCTGTGAATCAGCCACAGGCTGATTCTGTGACATTTGACCAGTGGAACTCCATTACCAAATGTCCCATCCTCTTCCATGTGATAGGTGTTGAATTTCTGTTGTTGAGATGCATTCTCACTA